CTACTAGTCATGACACCAAATAACAGCAGCCGGAAGCATCCCAAGCAGCTGCCTGAGGACGGGACCCCTCTTTTCTTTACCAGTCCTTCTCTCATGGCCACAAGAGGGGGTGAGTGTCTCACTGCATAAAACAGTGGTTTCTGCTCATGGTTTTAACACACTTAGTAAGCTGCTGTGGGCAAGTATATGTTCTACTGAGACCACTAACACTTAAACTGACTTAAAATGTTGACTCTGGTTCTGTTTTGCTTCTACATAGGTATCCTGTTTACAGTGTTCTCAGAAGGAGTCATGACTCTCTCACAGAAAAATCTTACCTTGAACTTAAGAAAAATGTAAGACCAAATGACCAAAACGTAAGACCATGTAAAACCAAATGACAATCCAGACCAGAATTCTGTCTGACAGAAGTCAGTAATACATCACTCAGAGAAAAGTATAAGAACACAGCAAGCATATAATTTTTATTTCTGTAATAGAGTTTTCTACATCTTGAGCTAGGAGGTGCACACCTGCATTTGGCAGCTCTGGATGAATTTTTATTCCACAAACACTCCTAATCATTTTCTGAACCAACACAAACTTCCAAGTTCCCAAGAATTTCGTAAGATACACTACGGTGAAAAAGTGCCCACACTGTCCCTTCAATCTGTTTTCAAAACCCCTCATAATACCCATCATGAAGGTCTGGAAAGAAAAGAGGAAGAGACATGCAGATCCCAAAGCACAGAAATGGCATTCTGGCTTCCCTTCAGCTGCCTTATCTCCCCAGCTGTTGTCATGTCCAAGTATACCGCCCCGCCTCCACGTCAAATACCTACCATTTGTGCTCACATTTAAAAGCATGTCCATACTTAAGATTCCAAATATTTGCTGCAGTTATAATCCTATGTGCCTCAAAAATCTCATTTCTGTCTCCTTGGTCAAATTCTTCTTCCTGTTTCGCAAGCCAATTATGTCTTTTGGTGGGGTGGCAGGAAGGAAGCCTGCCTCCTCCCATGTGCCTCACTGCTTATCTCTTGCTATATGCCTAAAATCAACATGATGGCTTTGACCAAGAACCACCGATCCATATGCAGTAACCACAAATACATAAAAGTTTCATATTCCAGTTGCCTATATGCCCACAATATTACTTTAAACATATCCAGTACTCGTCACTGCTGAAACTGTACTGCTAAGACATCTTCACTTATATAGATAATAGAAAATCAACTTCATATGCAAATTCATCTTTATATGAACACACTGCAAAACTGCTTATATCAACTATTCAGAACTGGCATATAACTAACCAGCGCATCTTGCTATGATTTCCTTACACATTAAGCTGGGCACTTACTTAGCATCTTCTGATACAACGTCTTCCAATTTTGGCTTCTTTCCCAAAACGGCATCTTCAGTACCATCGACCTCGATTTCCCTTTTGGGCTTCCCTGCCACAGCCACTGAAGATTTTTCCTCCAGTTGTCTTCTGCAACACAAATACGCAAAAAATTTAAAGTTTGCCTCTTTTACGTGTGTCCTACAGGCAACAGTGATCACGTTGCACTCGGGGCACAACCCGGGGAACTACACCCACGAGGACCGCCGTGGGTTTTCAAATCACTTCCCAGATGAGCTTGTCTCCAGGTCCCCGCGGTCCCCCCCCCGCCACTGTACCGGGGCTGGCCACAGCCCTGGGGCCAGAGATCCCGGGAAAAGGCGTCCCTCTAGGCTGCAGCGACCTCCCGGTACCGAGAGGGTTCAGTAGCTCAAACAAGCTGGCAGAAGCCAGGCCAAGCAGTGCGGCCCGAGCCTCAGCCGCCAGAACACCCCCGCCCTGCTCCCCCGGCCGCCAGCGCACCCTCACCCCGGTCTCCTGGCGCCTTCGGTGGCGCCCGCTTTGCTCTTCTTGGCGCCGGAGGCGGCAGCGGCGGCCGAGTCCTCCTCAAACACGCTGAAGAGCTCGTCCCCAAACGCGTCCGCCATCTTCCCCGCCGGTCCCACAATGCCTCACGCGGGACGGCGTCCCCCCACTCCCCAC